GTTTTATCTACAAGTTTTTTTCGTAATTTTTTTTTCCAACTCACCATACGATTTTCAAATAAATTTTTCTTATTGTAATTTAAATTGTATATTTATTACGTTCTTCTTATTACATATTCGTATCTTATATGACATAATATATCATATATTATTATACATAATAATATTTACGTATTTATTACATATGGGTAAAGGGGTGGATTTAAGGCATTGCGATTTATTCTACCATATAGGATGGCGCCTTTTGTTGGAGTGGCAAATTTTGGATACGCAGAAGAATTGTATTTAATATTTATTTTGTTCTTGTAAGGAAAATTTTTTTTTCTTTTATTGATAATTTTACAATTTCAAAATTATGAAAGGTTTAATTAAATTTTTTTTTTGTTTATTTTTTCCTGTATAGCTGAGCACTATACATTTTTACCCAGGAAATGATGATGACGATTATGGTTTGTTATAGTTCATCTCATTGTTTATGGACACGAGTTCATCGCGTATTTATGCGTCTATGAAATCATGAAATCTAAAAAATGAAATATTCATTAAATGGACGTGAAGTAGCCAATTCTCGTATTATAACTATACGGTTTATAATATTATGACAACATTATCCGTTTAAAAAAATTGAATTAGTCGATAGTTGTCACTTGTCTGTTCTCTGTCATTTCCTATTATTTAGAGTGTTGACAGTTTTTATACGTTTTTATTGAACGTATAATATAATATTTGTTATAATTTTTATTATTTTATTATATATTTAATATGAACAGAAAAAAGTTTAGTTGTTCTCAGTATAGAAAAAAAATTAAATTAAAAGACTAAAAAGTTAAATAGTTATTATAATCAGACCCAAAAATTAAATTAATTTTTTTAAACCAAAAAAATTAAATGAGATTTTACGATATTCCATTTCTTTACATAAATAATTAACATTATAATTATTTTTATAGTTAATTAATTATTAATAATATTATTATGTTTTAATTGTATTCAAATTTAGTTTAAAAAATAAAAAATATTACATTCGAATCAAAAAGTTTTTATAAAACTTTACCAAATTTAATAAATATTGAGATAATATTATTATGATGTACAGAAGTGATTTTTTTAGGATAGAGGCGGCTGATCATTACAATTCCATCACTGTATGAATAAGTATAGCAAGAACAGCTACAATAAGTAAAAATTAAGGCCAGGCGAATATAAATTCTCTTTATTAACTTACTATAAGCTAAGGTTGATCCCTCTTTTCTTTCTCTGTGAATACCCATGTTCATTGAACATTGTTCAATGTTAATCGATAAATATAGTCGGTAGATATTATTTTTTATTAATAAATATGTGAAAGATCAAAGACATTTTTTTTACTGAACATACCTACAACTATTATATCTCTAAAATAAAAATTATGGGGAGAAAAAGAAAAACTGTAAACTAATTGAAAATAAAAAAATTCAATTTTAATAAGGGATATGTGATGAATCATATTCTTATTAACTCCTATCCCCCTTTAAATATGCTACCGGATATCAATTTTGTGTGTATAAAACATTCAGTTCAATGAATTGGAAAAAACGATTTGTAGCCCATTATCCCACACGCGTGTCCTATGTAAAAAAAAAAAAAAGAAAGTATAAGTTTGAACTAAAAACATTATTAGCTTGTTTTTATTATTCTTAATATTTTTTCATAGTCAACGTAATTATAAACATTCTGACCATGGACATTTTTCATGTAAAGACACTGATTTACATACGAATACAAAGTTTTTTGACCGACAAGTATTGATTCGTCGGTTGGATATATTATTCAAATAACATTCGTTTTCCATTAGTCCAAGTGTTCGGTTCAACGTACATGCACATCGAGTCCACGGTTATTGGGTTCACATACGAACTATTATTATACATTGACTAAGCGAAACCGAATTCTCGGTAAACCGCATAATACACGTTTTCGTATCGTATCGTCACGACGTACAGTAGTGTTCAAGAATTTGTATGATTTTTATATATATATTATACATGTATAAAATACTTAAATTTTCGATAAACTTTTTTTTTTGTACATTCGTATCACACATCACATGTCTGCATAACATGTGTACGTTTTGAAAAGTTCTTAACCGCTGTGTATTGTACATTTTCTCCAGAGTCGATCGTCCTCGGACGGTGGAAACCATTATTTTAGGAAATTGCGTGAGAAAAAATGAACACGCCCATAACTCCGCTCGGAACACAGTTCTTCGTGAACCGTTTGACTTACCGTTGTACTTTCAAATGTACTTTTAGTGCCGATAACAGTATTCACGTACGGTGGCGGTGCAAAGTCTATTTTCCAATGAATCAGTTACGTTTATCGAGTACCCGCCCCAAATCGAAGTTCTAGATCCAGAGTCCAATCGTACTTGGCAGGTACATAGATAGTAAAATTAACAGATCCAAACAAAATAATTAAATAATTTATAATAATAATGTATAAATTGTGTATTCAACTTTTCTATCACACAAAACTACCAACCCATCGACCCCATTTTAGTCATGAAGCAGATGCTTCAATAAAACCCGTATCACGCCGATCTGTACTGCTGAGGTGAGCTAAACATCGAGTACCCATCGACTAGTTTTTACACTATCCTATTGATAATATCAATTTGCTCGATATGAACTTGTCTTACTTGTACTAGTTTTTCACGCGTACTTACTTAATACAAAAATTATTTGATTGATGGCGATCAATCGTTAAGCGTTTGTGAAAAAAAAAAAGTACGCGCAATCATAATATACCGCGAATGCGAGGCAAATGAGAAACTTAAACTCGGATCGACCTATCCGAATTGAGAGGATCTTCGAAAAGGAGGCTTGATAGGAGCCCATTATATTTTCTTTATGCGCAACAATATTAAATTAAATAATATTTTTTGTCTAAAATATCAGACGTTTTCTTATTTCCTGAATTTGGTTCTTCCTGTAAACTAATTAGAATTACAAAAAACTTGAAAAAGGCGTTATTTTATTTGTTATTTAAATATAAAAATAAAAAAAAGAGCAAACAATTATTTAAAAGAAATAATTTTTTGTTTTTTTTTGTTTTTTTTTTTTTTTTTTTTTTT